TAGGGTTTAGGGTTTAGGCTGAGTCATGTGAGCTGGAAAAAGCTAGCGGTAACAGTTCGGGAGTGATCACGATAAGAACCGCTACTGTGAGGCAGTAGTAGTTGTAGTTGTAGCGCACGTACGCTAATAGTACTACCTGTACACAAGGATGATGACAACAAATGGAAGCTCGTGCTGCGAAAATGAATCGTCATAATCATTTCTAGCAACATTGGAAAGCTTCGACTTACAGTGCTAATTTAAATTGTGTCGGGTAGACCTGGGCATGCAACACGAGGCGATCGATACTCACAGCAATCGCAACAGTACCAAGGAGACGAAGAAGCTCCCCAAGCATAGGCTCACCAGAATTCCTGAGGAGCCCTACAGAAAAGGATCGCTGAGCAGAGATTCGTTGCCGATTTCAATAGAAACTTCAAAACAGGTTCTGCGAAACTGACACTTTGAAAGCACCCTAGCTTCGAAAAATGAGGCAGTTCGGCTGAAGCCATAAACCCTTAGACCCCAAAACCACTCACCGGCACACCAAACCCTAAAACCCCCAAAAGCACATTTTAGGCCCCAACAAGTTCACTTCAACCCTAAACCTCCTCCAAGACTCCCCTAAACCTCAGAAGGCCGGCATCCGGATCCCGGCCTATAGTCGGGACCCATAACATAAGCTCCACGAGTAGAGCTGCATATATCGGGCTTGGGGTTTAAGGTAGAGGCCTTATTCTGAGAACAGGGTTTTGGGGTTTACTACGCGATAGCTACATGGGGATTGTAAGGGGTCTTTGTGTTCCTAAACTGTCCGACTCCTGTTGTACTTGTAGAGGCCTCAACGCAGTCCTGGCACTGCTAGTGCATGCTGTACTTTAAGTTACTGGTTGCAACTTCTTCGCCCGAGCGGACTTGACTCCATCCCCACATCCGCACCTAAAATCGGGAGGGTCCCCCTGAATTCTATGTCGGGGGGGCGGGGCATGGTTCAACGAAGAGTGCAAATCCTACATGGAGGACTTGCAGTTTGGACCAGGGAAGCGAACATCCAATATCTTGGGTTTTGGGTTTACGGTTAGCTTTCTTCATGATTAGATACTAATTACTTGAGCTGGTAATTCTTCACTGCCCAAATGCCAAGCCGTAAATCCTAAACCCATATAGACTCAATCGCAACTGAACAGGCCTGGAACCGGTTCCCGACGTTTCTTCCGCAGGCGCCTCCCAATAGAACAGTGCTACCCCCAAATCCACAAGCCCAAGCCACGAATCATGCGGTGTCAAGACTCGGGTGGTTTGGGCAGGTCTTATACCAAAGAAATATCAGCGAACCCTAGGGAGTACCACTCATAAGGACGCAGGACCCTCACCCCACCCTAAACGCCCTAAACCCCAAACCCAGGCCGCAACACCTCTTTCATGGCCCCCCGTGAGAGCACTGGTAAACACTGAGACCACAGACCCTCGAATCTAACTGATGGGGTTTAGGGTTTAGGGCTTGGTCAATTACAAGAGGGTCCGGGGGTACGTATAGCACAGCTCCGCAGGGACTATAACTAGATGCTACTTATGATTCAGACCACTCGGTACATTGTACAGACTCCACAGAAACATTGTCTACACCCCCCGAAATAAAGCCTGTGTACAAACCCGAACACTCTCGCAGCCTGAGAAGCTTGATGTAGAGGCCTTAATAATTAGAAAAGGGTTTTGGGGCCCAGTATACTATGCTTATAATAAGGAACCCCCAAAGTAATATTGGTAACCCTATATTATGCGAGTTTGGGAGCAAGTGCGTTCAAGGTCCCAGCCCCCCGAAAAGCCCCTGATGTTCGAAATTGCACGGTCCACTTCCAGAATCCCAGTTCGTGATGGAATCTAGAACCAATACCATTAGGGATGACAAGATACCCATATTTGCGGTATATGGTATATGATATGCCCAAGTTCTAGCGAGACAAGTCAGGAAAGTTCGCGGTACAAAGGTTTAGGGTGTACAGGGTGCAAGTCCTTACTACAGACAGTAATCTTACATATAGTATATCAAATCAGGATGCTAGAGCAGAACCCTCATCCGGAAGAACTGTGTTTCAAGCTTGAACCCAGCATTGAGTAGGGTGCAGGGATTAGTATAGGTTTTAACGAGGGACTTTGCTAGGCCAACCAAAGTATTTCAAAGCGACAGCGCTAGGATGTAGTTTTCTCACTCCAGGAACCCCTCAAACTCTGCGACCACTCCTCCACCGGCAGCGCAACACAGCCTCCACCTCAAGCAAGGAAACTCGGGTGACGGCTTCGGGTTTTAGGGCTGTACTTATTCAGGGAGAATGGTGTCGAGATTGAGCGGGGAAGTTGAGGCTCGGGGTTTAAACCCATGCCCCATTCCCCCTACCCCTATAGACTCTCATGTTTCTTCATGTGATCTCCTGGGTCTGATCTCAGGGGAATTCTATCAATCGCGACACATCGCATTCGCATCATTCGACTGGCAACCCAAGTAAGCAAACGGCAACATCCCCAAATCTTAAATCGAAAACCGTCAACCCAGTACCTTTATCCTACACCCTGCACCAGAATCCATATACCCAAAACTAAACCTAATGCTCGAAACAAACAAGAGATGCCAAGATTCAGAAAAAAAACATAGGGTCCCAATAACAACCCGAAATAGTCGGGACCCTTTGCTATGCGCCCCCCCCCCCCCCAAAAAAAAAA